GGCGCGGTTTAGGGTCATGTGACTGCTGTGACGCACCATCACATGATCGGGCCCTTTCCGTGAGTACTGGACATGTATGCTGGGAGTGTGCAGGACGTGCGCTCTCGGCCCATGTCTTTTTAACCACTTCCAGACCGGACACTTTTACCCCCTTCCTGACCAGGGCAGTTTTCAGCTTTTAGCGTTATCACACTTTGAATGACAATTGCGCTGTCATGCAACACTGTACCCAAATGAATTTACATTTTTTTGAGATAGATAAAACTTTATTTTGGTGGTATTTATTCACCACTGGGATTTGTATTTTTTTTGCTATGTAAATGTCCAGGTTTTATAAAATTTTGCAAATAAATAATATTTCATCATAAATCTTAGCCAAAATTTATTCAGAGCTAAAACCAAATTAGTTTATAAGCGGGCATTTTTTTTTACATTTTTAATTTTTTAATTTTTTTTATTTTTTTTACATACTGTCACCCTAGCAGTACAGTGTCACCATGGTTGTACTACAGTGGGTGATGGATTTTTTTTTTTTTACCCGATTGCTTTTACACCCATATAGGATGTAAAAAATCATTCTCTTTCTCTCTGTGTGCATTCTTGCACTCATTGAGAAGAACTGAGTGAGTGTGATTGGTCACGCTCACATGGTACAAGTGTAGCCTTGTACCATGTGACCTCTGTGATCATTCACAGTTTTCACGCGTAGTAAGCAATGTCAGAAGGACATCTTGCTTACTTACTTTGCATGTGCTGGCCAATCAAGTGATCACGTGATCGCTATACCCCGTACGTACAGAGGTCCCTTCGATCGGTGTTTCACTGTGTCCGGAGGACACAGCGGGCACCGGATCGCGGTGTGCGCGCTCCAGGAGCGCGCACTGTGCGGGGGAGGCAGTTTATAGACGGCCACCCGACCTGGCCACCGTCCGGTGCCGGTCGGGAAGTGGTTAATAGAATGTAATGCGCATCCACTCGGCGACGCGGGAGGCCGCACATTTTGTTTTGGCCGGTGTGAAAAAGTTAAAGAAACCTAGGTTTGTTTTTTTGTTAGGGGTAAAATTTCACTTTAAGCAGTGTAGAGCCAAGTTTACATCAACACTGGAGAAGTCTTCCACATACATCTTTATGTCCCATTCCTGGAAACACAGCTCATTACTGTAGAGACTGCCAGGGGGGACCCATAGACAAATATACATATTCACCAGCACACCATAGATTCTCCAAAGAGGTTCTTACTGCTAAAGATCACAGCACAGAAAGTGCAATGTTTGGAAGCTGTGCAGGACCCCTTCATCGGGCGGTCTGAAACGTTGTGATCTTATGCAATAAAAACCTCTTTGGACCATATTTGGAGATCCATGGTGTGCTGGTGAATGTACGTTTGCAATAAATTACCAGACTGGTGTTTTTAACCTCCTTAGCGGTTTTCCCGAGTGTAGCTCGGGGTAAAATTTTTGAGCCAAGAGTGGTAACCCCGAGCTACACTCGGGCTTACCATGCGGCGTTGCTCAGGGGGTCCCTGCAGAGCTTACCTTGTTCTTCGCTCCCGCGATGTGTCCGCTCCAGCGTCCCCGGCCATCTCCGGCCGATGCTGGCATCTGGCTTCTGTGTTGCGGTCCCTGTGACGTCGGGACGTACGGGTGCCGGAACCGGCGGGAATTTTGAAAATTAAAAAAAAAGTCATTTTTGCTGTCATTGCTGTTTCAATGCATTTCACATACATTTTGTCCCTACTGCTTTGTCCGGCGCCCTGCCTGCATTTTGACTGTTCTTTCTGCCTGGAAACTTAGAAAAGTCCATGGCGTCCAAAAAGCGTCCCTTTACGTCAAAAGCGGTTTTAGACCAGCGATAGTAAATTAGAACCACTTGCAGAATTGAGTGATAATGATTGTGGGGAAATTTGTCAGACACTGAAAAACGATTTTGCGACTTTGCTCAGCGATATGCGAATTTGCCTCTGCATTTCAAACTTCAGTGTTTTTGGTTTGACATTTAATTACATTTATTATTATAATAATTTATGATTAATAAATTATAATTTATGATAATTTATGATTTTGTGTTTCAAGTTTTATCATACCTGGGATGTTTACTAGACTCTTGTTCGGACAGATTTCAGTGAGTTATTCCTAACAAATACAGCCTACAATAAAAAAACTACATATTTCCATGCAAAAAAATGGTACCGCTTTCAGCAAAAAAAAAAAAAAAAAAAAAAAAAAAAAAAGGAAAGAATCAGACCGCCGAGGAGGTTAAAGCTGAACTCTATGGAATGTCAAGAGGACCCTTGTTACTGAGGATCGGTCTGCACTGCAAGGGTTAACAGCTTGGCTAGGGTACAGAAAATCTGTTTCTTACCTCATCCCTTGCTCCTCCAGGCTTACGCCTTGACAAGATTCCAGTCCTCCAAGCAGCTTTTCTCTGGCATTCCATCTCTCCCATCTGCACGCAGGGCTGGTAGAAGGATATTTGCCTACACAGGCAAAAGGTGCATGTTACCACCCCACCATCCTCCTGCCACCCCCTCCCCAATGCAACCCCTCACTGGCTGGCAGGTGGGGCAAACAAACTTTCAGGCTGCACCCAGTAGGAGAGGGCACAGAGTTGGGGGAATAGAAAAGACTGGAGAATTGGATTTTACTATCCCCCCATGCTGGCAGGTGGCCATGCCTGAAGAGGCTGACTAAGCAGCCTTATGTTCTCACCAGCCATGATCACACCACCCGCTGTGGGTACAGCGCAACCATGCCAGACACCACCCCCCAATTCCCCCCTCGGTACAGAGCGACCATACCAGACACCACCCCCAGGAAGAGTGTCCCATGATATTCCTCATGCACCTGGTAACTGTCTCTCCGGCACTGGCTCTGATCTGTAGAATGGCAAGTTCACCTAGGCAGCCACCTGTAGATTACTGATCTGGAGGAAGAAGTACTGATCATCTACCTTAGAAGACAGAGGACCCAGACCTAAACAGACTGGAGTTGCTGGATGCTGTCATACTGGAGAAGCTCAAAACTGGTCTACCCATGCTAGCACGAATCCCACATGGTACAGTCCCCAGCCTCCACCATTTGTACTTTCTGCTCCGCTCTATTCTGCTCCTCATCTTCCCAGATGTCACAGCCTCGTCAACCCTAATGTCCCAGATCTGCACCATGAATGACAGCACAGAGGGGCCCAGCAGAGCCTCCCCAGTCCACTTACTGATCACAAGATAGCCTGCCAGGAGCTATACACCCTCTGCCCCAGCAAGAGGCTGGGGATTTGGATTTTACTGCCCCGCTATCCTGGCATCCAAAAGGTAGATTCCTAATGCTGGTGCTAGCTCTGTCCATAAGCACTCCCAATACATCTAGTGCCCAGGGCGAAGATGTCAAATGGCATCCTTCCATCCCCAAAATGAGCATTGGGTCACCAAAAGCCTTCTCCCTCTTGCCCCCAAAATTGAAGCACTATTGGGGGGGCTATAGGATTGAAGCATCAGGGCCAACTGGAGATGCCACTGTGCAGAATTTCCTTACCCATGGCCTATCCAAGCTGACAGATCTGGAGAGGAGAGAGCTTGGAGGAGGGACAGGTTGCATCTCTTCTCCAGCCCCTCCTAGATAGGGACTGGAGAAGAGATACAACCTGTCCCTCCTCCGAGCTCTCCTCTCCAGATATGTCAGCTTAGCTCTGGATGAGGCAAGCCAGGTATAGTCATGCTGCCATCACTACTCCTGTCAACTTGTAGGCAAGAACTGTCCATATGGTGCCCCCACCTAACATGATACCATTGTGCCCAGAGCAGCTGCCCGTCTCACCCACCCCATTTGCCTGCCCTGCACCCAACATCTACAATGGAGGACCAGCAGTCCAGCATTGTAAAACAAAAAAAAAAAAAAAAATATAAAAAAAAAAAAAGGGAGGACAGACCACCCAAGCATTAGAGGTAGGAGAAAAGTATTGACTGCAGGGGGAGTGAGGTAAGGAAAGTAAACCTTTTAATGGTGCCCTTCAAAAGCGTTTAACCCTTACAAAGCAGGGGCAGCCCCTCTGATATTGTAGGTTTGACATTGCTCTTGGCTTTAACCCTTGCCTAGTTGGGGCTATACAAAGTTTATTGGAGCATATAGAGCAGCCTCTCAACACCAATGGAACCCTTGAAATACCTTTCCGATCTCAGAACACCTGCTAAAAATGACTAACACGATACATTAGTGTGATGTCAGTGGAAAGGATGTTCCTTATACTTGGTCATTGGGAAGAATCCCCCCCCCTACTGATCAATGGGGTCAGTCGGATCCTATCCAAGAATTGCTCATAGAACCCCTAGCAACCTCTGGAGGAACTCTGATTCCATGGAACCCTGGTTGAGAAAACCTTGAGTGTTCAGTCAAGTTATTTGGTTTTACAAGTATGACGTTTATACGTGGAAGTTTGTGCTCGAAGATTTGGGGGGTGAAAAAAAAAAAAAAAAAAAAAAAAAAGTGTTTAGAAAGCACAGGACACAGATTAAACTTTACAGTTTTATATCACTTTCAGTCTTGTAACAAATACACACGACTCACATCTCATGTTTACCAACTGGCAAGGCTTCCACTTGCCACTCTGTGCGAAGAAAAGGCAAGAGAGAATGCGCACAGCTAGAACACACCCCAAGGTGGGAAGACAGTGTACAAAGTGGCTGAACTACATACTGCCAGAGCCCTTCTTGCAGGCTGATAAAAGAAAAAACAGGTTTACCAGAAACCTATTCAAGTCTGACTTGTACATCTACAAGCTACAATAGTCTGCTGAATCCCAGTGGATGCCATCCAGCAAAACCATACGCTCTAGGCCTCGCCTCGAAGACCCTGAAGAGGTTTGTGCTGGGAAATGGTGGACCTGGTTTGCTGGAGTAGCAGCTGTGCATACAGTCTAAAGTGGATTCCATGTCAACTAATTAAACACAATCTCTCTATAAAAAGAAAAAAAAACACCCAACTCCTTGAAACAAAGCCATTTTTGGTTCTTTAGTAGTAGTAGTTGCTCTTTGAGTAAAGTCCATTGGTCGAGTTTCCAATCTCCACTTCCTTCTTATAGCAATTGGTCAAAAGATTGGCCTTTTTGGTCAGCTTTGTCAGGACAGACAGGAGTCCCCTAAGATGGTGCTGAAATTGGTCCACCAGGTCTCCCGTCTCTTCCCCTTGGTCATCCTCCGTGTCAGGGCAGTGTTTTTCCACAATTTGTTTTTCTGAGTGAATCCCCCACTTCATATCGTGTCTTAGAGATTTTAGGAGAAGGTAAGAGTCATACAGGTTCCTGTTTTCTACGACATCTTTGGAATTCATATTGTCTCCATTTTCCTCCTTGGTAGGGGTTATGTCCTGCAGCATGCTGGGAACCATAATTGTTTCATCCATGATGGTCGTGGCAGTGTTGAATCTGTGGATGGCATCCAGCAGGGAGTGGCGCTGGGGACTGTATTCTGACACTTCCATTGTGTAGCCTTTTCCTCAGTCAGATTAGAAATCTGGGAAAGAAAAAAAAAAAAAATTAGCTATCAAAATGTACTTTTCAAACAATTCTGTTTGGCATCTGCACATGCGAGCTTTGTCGCTACACTCAAGAAAGCAAAAATGACCCAAAAATATTCAAAATAATTCTGTAAGATAAAATATAGTACATTCGATGCCTCCCAAAAGTGTACTTATTCCTTTAATGAAAAACAACTTAGTCTCTGCAAGGTTACCCAACTTGTTAAAATTCTAGCAAGGGCAGCTGATGGTCATTCTATTGGTGTAGACTCATTCCCAAAAACTACATCTCCCAAGATCCCATTTCCTACACTGCATAGGCAGGCTCTAGAGCAGGGGTAATGAATTGAATTTCAAGGAGGTCTAGACCCTAAAATAGTCTTCCAGCTGAGGTCTGAATCTCAAGTTTGTAGTCATTGCATGTCCATCAAAAATATATCAGGTTCCCCCCATCAGAGTGCCCCCCCAGAGTAGCCCCCCATATGATCATGTTTCCCCCTCAGAGTACCCTTCTAAATCAGTTGTGATCCAGAACAGCACATCTACAGATTGTTAGAACCCATGAAAGGGAAACTGTATACCTGTACCTGATGGATAATGTCCATGTAGTCAAGCAGGCAGGGGGCAGAGAGAAGTTTGCTACAGGGGGTGGGGCACACATTATGTCATTGGCTGCTAGAACAATTGGTGATCCCAGCATCCAATGACTGCTGAGCAGCAAGGACCAGACACTGCAGACTGATGGTCCAGACAGGAGCGTCGCTTGGTCCATGTCCAGACCACAGTCTGCCATTTCATCACCACTGCTCCAAAAAAGTCTAGGCAAGCAGCACTTTCTGGGAAAAAAATGCATGTAGAATGTAACAAATGGGTGGGGGTAGGGGTTCTGTAGCAAGGCTAAAGCTGGGTATACATTGGTGGCTGAACAGTGTGGTAACAGCTGATGGAATTCTGGTTTTCCAGCAGGACCATTCCACAGAAGCCAGTCCAATAACTGGCTTCTGTTGAACAGACTGTGCTATACAGATGAAGTCTGGAAGGTTCAGCAGGAACCAACCGAACTTTAAATGCATGTATACCCAGCTGGACAATGCTGGTTAGGAATTTGGTTCAGGCACATCCCCAGAACTACATCTCCCAAGGGCAGTTTCTCTACACAGTGTGGACAGGATTTTGGGAGTCAAGGCAAGCAGGTCTGCATGCATACAACAACTTCTTTTGCAGTCAACCAGAGAGGGACAGAGTAAATGGGTGGAATTCTGTAGCCTAGAAGGCAGGTCCAACAATGTAGGTCAGGATTTTGGTACACAGGTTCACACAGCAAGTTAGGGGCATACTGATAGGTCACTTATCTTTAAAATACTGGTCTCCACCTTCCACACCCGACTGCAGGACTTCCCCCATCCTCTGGAACTCACTACCCCAATCCAGACTGTCACCTACCCTCACCTTTAGGTGCACCAGGGAAGCCTACCCCCCCCCTCACCTAACTGCCAATCTCCTCCACGCCTCCTACCACTCCATCCCCCACAGCCACTTCCTCCTGTGCCACTATCTCCTCCCTCCTAGATTGTAAACTCAAAGAGCAGGGCCCTCGAAACCCCTCGTGTATTGTCTCATGTACTGTCCCCCACTATAATGTACAGCAATGAGCAAACCTATTTGCGCTAATACCAGGGGCGGACTGACCATTTGGAAACTCTGGCACTGCCTGAGGTCAGTAGGGGGCCCCATGAGATGCCCCTGGTACCTTTTTCATAGGCTTTGAGCTTGGGCAAGGACACAGGGGCCCCGTGATCCCCTATTGCCTGGGGGCCCCATGAGTTGTCAGTCCACCCCTGATATTATAACACAGTATTTATAAAGCGCCAATAGTTCGCTCAGCGCTGTACATTACAATGGGGGACAGAACAACAACAACAACACAATGCAAAACATGAGGGGGATCGAGGGCCCTGCTCTTTCGAGCTTACAATCTAGGATAAATAAAATACTTGCAGCCCATTTTTTCTCCCAGACATGTTTTATGACATTTTATTGTGAAGAGATGGAGGATTGAATAGATTCAGAACTATGACAACTGCACCAGAACTTTGGAAGTCAGGAACATTCCCAAATTATTGCTGGAGTTAATCCACAATTAAAAAGGTTTGTGGTCTGAAATGTCTGGCTTGACCTGTTTATCATGAAAGATGACTTGTTTGGGTGTGACTGATCATTATCTTAACTGCCTGGTGCAGTAGCCACACTGTAGACCTTGTTTACTCTCTTGGTGTCCGGGTTCTGTACAGTAAGAAAATACACTGATCTTATCTTTAAAGAGTATCTGTATGGTGTTCAACAATACAGTTAGGTGAAAGGAAGGGAATCTAGAACATTTAGACATTTGATGAATGTCTATGCCATTTATTGTTTGATGGTCAGTTTTTGAGAATCAGTCTCAAGGGTTTCAACCAGTGGATAGTGGACATCAAACTCTAGCACAGCCTCTCAACTTTCGACAGAGGGGAACCCTTTAAAAAACCTCCAGTCTCAGGGAACCTCTGCTAAAAAATTACTCTACAACTCATGATACATTAGTGTAATGGTCAGTGGGAAGAATGCTCCTTACACTTTTAGTCATTGGGAAAAATCCCCCCCTACAGATAGATAAAAAGATCAATGGTGTCAGTGGGAACTTATCTGAGGCACAGAAATTGCTCAAGGAACCCCTGGAGGAACCCTAATTGAGAAACCTTGCTTTAGCAGAAAAGTGAAGTATTAGGATGCACTCCTGGTGACTGTTCACATTACTTGTGCTGGTACGGTCAGCGACAGGAAATCTCCCCAGTTGAGCAACGGAGCATAATTTGGCTTTGTGGCCACCCTTTGATTTGCCCTCACTTAAGCCCCATACACATGATGAGAATATTGGACGAACGAACGACCGTCTTTTTGCATGCTAGCCTCATATTAAAAGAAGGTTACTAAAGTTAGGAAAATTCAAAAAATGTGTGTTGTACTGCATTTTCAGACAAAAAACTGTACTGGATTAAACAAAAACATTCTGGTATTGTACAAAAAATTTGATTATCCTTTTGAATAATTTTGGACGAAAGCTGTGCACCAGATTATTGTACAATTGCTTTGAAAGCGGTATTTTTTGTACGATTGTCTGATAGTTTGTACTAGGCTTTATGCAGGCCATAGATGGGGAAAAAAACGGCAGATTTTCGGCGGCCGATTAACGAACTATCGGTCGGTCTAAAAAACTTACCTGACCCACCAATTATTATTACGAAAATCGGCCGATTAATGAGTAACCTATAACGGGAAATGATGTCATTTTGTGGCCTTTGTGATCCTTTTTTCGGAAAACGATCGTTCGTTTTTGACCATCAATGAGGATAAAGTCGGGAGTTTTTCGAAAATTTTCCAACATCACCGATAATCTGAAAGTCCAAAATACACGAAAAAACGGCCCACAAAATCGTCCACTAACGATAAGATAATCGGCCGGTTTTATTTTCGGAAGAAAAATCGGCCGTTTTTCTCCCCATCTATGGTCTGCATTAGGCCTAGAAATAACGGACGCCAGACAGGGGCGGACTGACCATTTGAAAACTCTGGCACTGCCCGAGGGTCAGGGGGCCCCATGAGATGTCAGTCCACCCCTGACGCTAGACAAAGTGAATCACTCCAACAACAAGGACTATAAACCCTCTAAGCAAAAACACACACACCAAAAAAACACACAAGCCACCAAAAACACACACACCCAAAACCAAAAAACACACACCAAAAAACACACACCAAAAAACACACACCAAAAAACACACACCAAAAAACACACACCCAAAAAACACCACCAAAAAAACACACAACCAAAAAACACACACCAAGTTCCAAAAAAATATAAAGATCCAGGATTCAAACAAAAAAAACCACAAAAAAAAAACAATAACAAAAAAAAAAAACATCTACCAAATAAACATGAAAAAGCAAAGTTTAAGACCCAAAAACATAAATAAATCACCAAAAAAAATCAGAGGGGAAACCCAATCTTAATCAAACAAATGGCAGCGTTTTTTCCATAAATGGAGTTTTCACCAACTTGCAATGTGTAAAAAAGGTGCAGTTTGTGTTCTTATCACCCACTGCAGGTGGTGCTCAAAACCACGGCAGCAACGCAGATGGGGAGGAACTTTGATTGGATACTAGTGCCTTGTGACTGTGGTGGCCATCTTGGGTTCAGGCAGAGTTTTTAAAGAGTCTCCTGGACATCTTTTTATTGGTGCACTTTATATGCAAGCCACTGGCACAGAGACAAGATCACCCCCACCTGTTCAGGACAACAGTGCTTAAAGATCAGGAAAAGGTTCTGGAGGAGTAGGAGAGCACAGACTACATCTACAAGAACCCTTCCCACTTGGGTTTGGACTGGTCAGGATACATTCTGCTCCTCTTGGCAGACTGTCAGTATATCTTTGGGTCTTCAGACTGCTGTCCCACCCACTGTATGGTTTTAAAAGTGGCTTCCAAAAAAACAGTTGTGCCTTCAGCCAGGCCTGATTTTGCCAGACTTTTCTACAATAAATTGCTTTTGACAAATTTGCACGCTATGCTCACTGCCTGCCACATCATGCTGCACCTAGTCTACATGTTTGAAGTTGCCAGAAAATTTGACCACTCAAGAAGTCTAATCCATTGCAATGTAGTGGGCTATATTGGGGCAGGGGGGCAAGGAACACATTCAATAGATTTTACCATCCACACAAACTGGTGGATTGAGTAACCTCCTAAATAGCATATTGGAATCGTCCAATAGGTCCCTTCAAGTTTAGAACGTCTGTGCTGGTCTTGCACCACCACCCCACTTATCTCCCTACATTAAAGTACTGGGGGAGGAAGCAAAGAAAATATTGTAGAGTCACTTGAGTAGGCTGCAGCTATTGACACTCCATCCAAGATGGTGGCAACACAGA